TAATTTAATTATTCATCTTCATTCGAAAAAGATAAGTCTGAATAGTCACTATCGTCGCCCATATTTGACAAGATCACAGAACAAAATCAACAATGACACAAAATATCAAAATAACTTTATAAACAAACACTAACCATAAACATACCACTAACAACAAAATCAAAATATCATGAACCTGTAAAGAACGAAGATGAAAGAAGAGAATAAATGAACTGCGCAAGCCAATCCAAGTGATTTCTACTCAAAGACAAGTATCGAAATGACGATACAGAAATCTGTTTCTGAATCGTACACTTTTTGATTGGATCGCTGAACAAATGTTACCAAGTATCGTCAACTTTTGGTTGGAACAACTTTTATTCAATGTGCATGTGATGTAACATGAAAATGTAACGGGTTGGAAAGAAACTATTATTTGATAAATAAACTCCACTGCGCTTTAAACCTACAACCTACCTAGTACCAAGCCAGCACCAGAATGCTACACACCTTTATATCTGACAAATGCAAAAAAGTCTTACCTTTTGAATAATTTTTAATGTGTAACCACATCATTGAATATTATTAGAGATCAAATAAGAAACGCGACAGAATATAAAATATATGACTTGGTAAGATGGTAACAAATATTTATTTTTTTAAATTTGTTAAATGAATACTTTTTTTTCTGTATAAACTTGAATGATAGTTATATTTAAAAATCTGCTCTTCCGTTAACCATCTGTCGCCCCCTTACGAACGACACATCCCCAAAGTCGAAACTTGTGCGACCTAAGAACTAACGAGGTCTTACTTTTTAACGTGTGACTCCTAACACGGGTTGGACGATAGGAAGTGAAAATCGATCGTCCGGCCTAGCGGTTTGAACCACCTGTTCACACAGCGGTCGATGGAGCAAATGGAGCAAACCACCCACGTCAACCCGACCGGCTACCGTCACTATCATTTACTTAAGACTACTCCCCATACTGTTGAGTAAGTGACCATGGGGATCAGCTGCAGTGAGCCAAGAATGACAGGCTTGAGAATCAAGAGAAGAAAGGGCATCATTCCACCAAGAACTACAATAATCAGAAGAACCATCTTAAAAGAGTGGTCTGAATAGCCTGCAGAGTTGGAAGAGAAAATCTTGATATTTCATCTGCTTCTCTTCCTCTTTTCGGAAGATATTCGTCTCATCCAGATGGGTGAGAATGGAATGAATCTCAAAACAATTCTGAATCTTCATATTTATATTATATGCTCTAGAACAAAAATGTATTGAAATAAACTATTCAAATTGTTTACTCTCATTCTAACATTGCCCAATTTGAAAAGACTCCATACCGTTGGCTTCATTTTTCAAAACATTAATCATTCATCAACCCATACAGAAGATCTTATCATGCAAATGATTTTGAAATACAAAGCTTATACTCATACATCTTGTTGTAAAATTACTGATAAGATACAAAAAATTATTTTTCTTTCATGATTACACACACCAACGATTTTCATGTTTTCTCTTTTTTTTTCTGATCTGACACACGAATTTCTTATAATTTAGGATTGAATACCACTAATCATATACTAATCGAAGGTTGAACCACTGTCCAAATATATTGTTATTATGATTATCAATAGCTTATTTATATATGTATGTATGTATGTGTATATGCGTGTATGTATTGTGTATGTGTGTGTATATATGTATGTATATGTGTGTGTGTATGTATGCGTGTATACGTATGTATATATGTGTATATCCATTATTCATTAGATATAAGATTTCTGCAGAGATTGAAATGCATGTATGTATACTCAAGTGTATCTATACTATTATAATATGAATTAATCAGGTATAATTTTAATTGATGTATATTTATTTTACACTTAGTTTTATATTTTATCTTTCGTGACTGTCTCTTTTGTAATTCCACAAACAAGTATGTTTGATACTTCTGTGGATATTATTATGTTTATTCATTTTTATACACAACTCTTATATTATTGTATGGATTTTATTTTATCACGAATAAACGTCATTAATAAATGTGGGCTTGGCTGATAATTCAATCTTCTCTCATAGGTAGTTAGTATGGATTATCTTGAAACTATTCAACTAAAAGATGAATATTCTGACAGGATAGAAATTATAATATGTTATAAAATAAATGTATGAGGATGATATGTTCTGGAAATAACAGGAAGAGAAAAAAATGGAAAATGTGAACTAAAAAGGGATACAGAGGAACATGTGAACGACTATCACAAATACTTTATTACAATTATGCCCGATTTTATATCAATCCTCGTAAATATGCCATTTGAATCTTCAATTGAATATTATTTTTAGTCAATGTTAGAAAAGTCAATATATCCTCAAGAAGTTATTGAACTATCACATAAAGTGAAAAAATAAGTTCTCTAATGGTTAATTTCTACATCTGTGAGAAAAAGAAGTATTCCAAGCGTAAGTGAAATTGTCTCATATAATATGAATAACTCTTCTCTTCAAGACATAAACTATCTGTATTGAAAGCTACTCTTAAAAAAGAGGATTCTAACTTGTGTAATAACATTGTCAATTTCTAACATGAATGTAACTTATTCAAAAAACACACTTCAATGTGAGATTTCCACTTGAAATTTTACACACCTGCGCCACGTGTTTCGCTATACAATATAATCTTCAGACCTCCGAAGATGTTATTGTATAGTAAAACACATGTCGTAGTTGTGTAAACTTTCATGATACGAATTTAATAATAGGCAGTGAAACATATGTCGGCAGAATTTAATTACATCGGACTTCTATTGTCTAATATGATATGATTTGAAATCTCTAAAATAACAAATGAAAATTAAAAAATAGCTGGAGATAACAATTATATTAAGCAAAAACACCCTGAAAAGAAATTACAAATAAAAATTAAACAACAAATTGAAAATTGAACAAATAAAATGAAATAAAAATTGAAAGATTTCAAGCCAAGTTACATCACGACATTCCGACTGTTAGTATCCACAATCGTCTTCGGATCATTCGAGTGCTTTCACCTATCCCTTCTTCCCTCTCTTCGCTTCACCGGTTTAGCGGGAGATGGCCATTTGGCGAGAGTTTTCATGGGTACACAACATATGGGTTTTCTACCTTGGCTGAATGCGTCATTGGACAACATGTATGCAGCTTCTTTGAACATTCTCTTAAACCAGTGTTCCTCCCTGTGGATGATCTCTGCTTGGAACCACTTGATGTTATGTTGATGGGTCTAGGCATCATAAAAAAGATCTTCAACGAAATGGTTACTCCAAAGTGAAGGCAGAACAGACTTTGGCTAAAAGACAGCAAGTGACTCGCAAGGAAAAGAAGCCATCACAACCAGTGCTTGCACTTTCCTACACCAGAAGATTGTCGTAAAGGATAAGAAGAATTGGGTCCAAATACAGCATCGGAACATGTTTTAGATCCAGAAACATCATCCGTAACACCCTCACAAAAACCAGACCACCAAACGCGGACTGTTCATTCTAAGAATTGAATTTACCTGTGAGTGCGACAAATCTTATATCAGTGAAAATAAGAGGCCATTGAAAGTCCGCATTGCCCAGCACAAGAAACACACACAGCGAGGAGAAACCAACAAGTCAGGAATAGCAGAGCATGTTTGGACCCATCAACATAACATCAAGTGGTCCCAAGCTGAGATCATCCACAGGGAGAAACGCTGATTTAGGAGAAAATTGAAAGAAGCTGTTGTCCAACGACGCATTCAGCCAAGCTAGCGTAGAGATAAGCAACATATGGAAACCCATAATAAAGCGGAAAACAGGCAACTGCCGCCAAATGGACATCTCCCGCTAAACCGGTGAAACGGAGAGGGGGAAGAGGGGATAGTTGAAAGCACTCGAATGACCTATAAATAGTCATCTCTCGGATAGATTAGAGGAATGGGCCAAATTATGGAAGATCAGTATAAACCCTGAGAAGAGTCAGGCAATACTGTTCACCCGGAGGATGGTATACCCAGAAGGAAAGGTCATCTTCAATGGACAAATATTCCGTGGACCAACAAAGCTAGATACTTGGGGGGTCAACCTAAACAAAAGATTAATGTTCAGGTCTAACCTCATAAATACGACTGGACAGAAGTAAAACGGATCATGAAATATCTTAAAGGAACTCTGAATATAGAAATACTCTAATATTGGCTTTTGCTTCCGTTTAGGCGCAATAAGCCATAATATCTATTCGTGGAAGTACAGAAGTCTTTCTGTACGCAATACTGCACTCCTTTTTTAAAAGATTCATAAATTTTTTGTGAATCGATGGCAAACATACACTACAGATTAAACTATCACTACACAAATAAACTTAAAATTGCTTGCACGTGCTGTGACGGCATGACCTTGTGTACTTGTGTACATTTACTTAGACAACGCGCACGTGCAAAATTAATTTGCAATTCAACTAGAGTAGAGTATTTGTCATAGAACATACTTTTTATGCAGAACACCTGCAGTTCATGTGGTTTTGGTGCATAAAACGGTCTATTGAAAACGAACGTCATCTCTCATAGTAAAAGTGAATTCGAAAGTTGGTGGTGCCACATAAATACAGTCTAAAGTTAATGATTCACACTGGAAAATATGAATTTCGGATTCACTAGAAACATGGATAAAATCATTATGAAATTTCCGCTTTATTTTTCAAGTATCGAATATCTAAATTGAATATTTCTAAATTACAACACTGGTGGCAACAATGTGTTGACGAGGATGATGTGAACTGTGAAGTCATTAAAATAAAAAGTGAAAAGGTTAGGAGTGCAGTCGGATATCGCTTGTTAATTGACTTTAAATTACAGTTGAACTTTGTTTTAGCCGCTAAAATTTAGCGCAAACCCAGGTGGGGTTTGGGTCTGACTCAGATCCATTTCAGTGTGGGCTCCACCTGTAGTAAAACATGATTTTGGAACTCCTGGCTGGATAGCCCTGGCAGGTGAAGCCATTGAATGAAAAAGAAGAAGAAGATGAAGAGGTTAGGTTATATGAAGACTGTTTTTGTTGAAACGTGATATTTTTTAATTATCATTACAATATGTCTTGTGAAATTTCAAAAAAGAGAAACAACCGAAAAAGAAAGAAATCATTTCTTATGAATGCAAGAAAGTACGGTAAAAAAGGATATTATGGAAGAGGCTCGGAGCTGGATTCTGATACATACCAGTACTTTGTGAGGATAATGGAAGTTTATAGAGAGGGATTTGAAAATGAAGAAGATAAAATTTTATTTGTGAACAATGTTTTCGAGCAATCAGAGAATCAAGAAATAAACTGTAGTTGTAACCAAGTGGGGTGTCGTGTTATAGAAACACTGCTTCCCTATGCTAGTGATTTGATTTTGAAGAAGTTCATGGAAGCATTCAACTCCGAGATTAGACGTTTGTGTACAGATCGCTTTGCAAGTCATGTTCTTGAAGGTTTGGTTATTCAATCTTGTAGAAGATCGTTGGAAATTGAATCAAGAAGTCAAGAAGTGGTTCAGTATTTTCACCAATTTACATTGAAAATAAGCAGATTCTTACTGAATAATCTTGAAGATTTCATTTGGGATACTTATGGCAATCACATAATGAGAACATGTTTAAAAAATCTAGCTCAGTTAGAAAGTGAAAATGTCAAAAAAAAGGAAACAATGGCAGAAGAATCTGAAAGTAAGGAAGTTCCAGAGGAATACTTGGAAATTGTGGAAGAGTATGCAAAAAGGATTATCTCTTGGCCACAGTTTAATGAGCTGTGTAGTTCAGAACTAACTTCTGGTTTTTTACAAGTTTTACTACAATGCCTTAAAAAAATCAAAAGCAAAACTTTCAAGATATATTTGAAGAAATTGTTGAAGGATATATTTGTCTCTAAGGATGACGGTGACCAGGCAAATTCCAATATCTNCTGTGATTTCAATTTTATATAATACATGGACTTTACAATTTAGGTGTCCTGAGTGCACTGTTGATTTCACTGATTCCTTTTGCTCATGTGATTACAAATGCCTCAATCTAATTGAAACAATATATAAAAATAATGAAAGCGACATAAGGAACGGAATAAGTCATCATCTATCTATCTAGGAATTTCACAAAGAATAAATTTGTGTTTCAGAACGTGGAAACGATTATTTTCAAAAAATTTCTTCCATGACAGAAGTTCCGCTACTACCTACGAGTAATTTTTTTTTGTTGTCAACGGTATTGAATACTTTTATTTATTTATTCAACGGACAACCCCCAATTTTTATACAATATATCAACCTTAGAAAGTTAATTATTCTAGTATCTATATATCTAATAAATCAAGCTACATAGAGAAAATTAAAATAAAATTGTGATAAAAAAAATAGTCTTATAAATCTATTCCACGTAGAGAATATCAAAGAGTGCTCGGAGAGCACTCTTAAAAAATCAATATTGGTCTCATTGGCATTTGATAGAATTCTGGAGATAGGAGAATGTTTTCCATAATTACACCTTTGAAAGTCGAGACTGAAAGTTTGGTTGTTATGTGTCCTCCTCGGGGGAACATGCAGATTGACTTGACAGAGAAGAGTTGGGCAATTAATTTCGTTTCACGACATTCCGACTGTTAGTATCCACAATCGTCTTCGGATCATTCGAGTGCTTTCACCTATCCCTTCTTCCCTCTCTTCGCTTCACCGGTTTAGCGGGAGATGGCCATTTGGCGAGAGTTTTCATGGGTACACAACATATGGGTTTCCTACCTTGGCTGAATGCGTCATTGGACAACATGTATGCAGCTTCTTTGAACATTCTCTTAAACCAGTGTTCCTCCCTGTGGATGATCTCTGCTTGGAACCACTTGATGTTATGTTGATGGGTCTAGGCATCATAAAAAGGATCTTCAATGAAATGGTTACTCCAAAGTGAAGGCAGAACAGACTTTGGCTAAAAGACAGCAAGTGACTCGCAAGGAAAAGAAGCCATCACAACCAGTGCTTGCACTTTCCTACACCAGAAGATTGTCGTAAAGGATAAGAAGAATTGGGTCCAAATACAGCATCGGAACATGTTTTAGATCCAGAAACATCATCCGTAACACCCTCACAAAAACCAGACCACCAAACGCGGACCGTTCATTCCAAGAATTGCATTTACCTGTGAGTGCGACAAATCTTATATCAGTGAAAATAAGAGGCCATTGAAAGTCCGCATTGCCCAGCACAAGAAACACACACAGCGAGGAGAAAATTGAAAGAAGCATTCAGCCAAGCTAGCGTAGAGATAAGCAACATATGGAAACCCATATGTTTCCGCCAAATGGCCATCTCCCGCTAAACCGGTGAAACGGAGAGGGGGAAGAGGGGACAGTTGAAAGCACTCGAATGACCTATAAATAGTCATCTCTCGGAGGAGTAAGTCCAGTAGCCAGATAGATTAGAGGAATGGGCCAACCTAGGGAAGATCAGTATAAACCCTGAGAAGAGTCAGGCAATACTGTTCTCCCGGAGGATGGTATACCCGGAAGGAAAGGTCATCTTCAATGGACAAATATTCCGTGGACCAACAAAACTAGATACTTGGGGGGTCAACCTAGACAAAAGATTAATGTTCAGGTCTCACATACGACAGAGAATAGTAATGGCGAGATCTGCCCGACAAAACCTATTACCAATAATAGGTTGAAGAAGCAACATGGAATTGAAAGTGAAACTGCTGATGATAAAGACTGTAATATTACCGATAATCCTGTATGCCTGACGATTGTGGATAATAACAATCGAAACGTCGCGAGGTAACTTGGCTTGAAAACTTTCAATTTTCATTTTTTATTCTAGAGATTTCAAATCATATCACATTAGCCAACAGAAGTTAAAAATTCAAATATATATGCAGTTATTCCTTTGCTGATTATTTACTTCTCAACTCCTTTGACATATGTCAAAGAAGTTGACACTTGTATAAAGTTCTCCATTATATTTTTCATTTGTTTCAGAAGGTGAAAAAACCTAAAATGTCGATAAAAAATACAAGAATATCTTCTATAATATATCATGATTACCAACTATTGATACCCAAGAACTTACTTGTGGATTTTTTCTACCTACCAAAAATTCAAAATGGGAGAGCTGCAGCTCTCTTGGGATTATTGGGGATCAACAGTTGGTAATCATAAAGATAATTAGTTATTGTTGTAGTATTGGTATTGATAATTCAGGTAACATTTCTTATTTTAGGTACCTATTACAGGTACCTGACTTGTTTTGACAAAAAGTATCAGTTACTTAATAATGGTCTAACAAACTGAAACCAGCCGTAAACTTATGAATGAATTGGACAAAAGTATTTTCTTTATTCTATATCTTCCATAGTCATCAATATCTTGTTTTAAGCCAGCTTTTACATAGATTTTATAAAACTACACACCCAAAAGACAGGAAAAGGAGATGTAGAGAAAAAAGTAAACATTGCTCTTAATTGAAAAATTGACAAATATTAGAAGTTTCAAGTTTTGAATTTGAGTTTAACAATGAATTTTATAAAGTTTACTCTTAGTGCATTTCTTTGCATGATCTTCATTACTATGTAAATAGTTCATTTTGAAATTAATTCATCTTGGCTTAGAAAGCCAAAATCTTTCATAAAATTAATATCTCCTAAAAATATGCCCCTTTCAATTTAAACGAAATACCTATGGCTGGGACTAAAGCAAATAAGCGAATGAATGGTAATATTATCCAGATTGTTACTGAAGACGCAATAAGGAAAGTGTCATATTCCGAAACATCTGATGTCCACCAATGAGAGACAGTGTTCCATAAAATGAAATTTTACCTCTTTCATATACTTATTGTGTAGCGATACTATTAATGATATCAGAATCAATTTCATAACGAATGTTTGTAGTACAAACCGAATAGGAAAAAGAGTTTTTTTGTAATTTAATGTTCATACAAAAGTAGTTCTTTTAAAACTACTTTTGTATTTCTTGCAATTCAATGTTTGTAAGAAAGTGGTCATTCCAATAGGGTTTTTCTTCTAGTTTGCCTGAAAGCTACTTCTTTGCATGATCTACAACATGGAGAAGTAGAAAGCCAAAACTGTTTCTTTCTAAACAACTTTAATTTTTTATATATTTGCCAACTCACCTGAAATGGAAGTGATGTCTTGTAGAAGGTTGAGGATTTCCAATAGGGACAAACAAATACTCTTCATTATCTATAATATGGATCCCGTCCGGAGGAGTAATTTCCACTACATGTTCATCATACTCATCATTGCTTTTAACATTATGTATTATTCTTCTGAAAGACTGTTTGCAAAGTGGACATTCTGGTTTAATCTGTGAAATCCAACTGTTTAGAAAGTATTCTTGTTTTGAAGATCAACTCATGAATTGAAACATACCTTAGACCACTCCAAAAGACATTTAAAACAAAACTGGTGCATACATGAGTCAGAGAAACATTTATTTGTAAAAGTTCCCAAGCAAATAGCACAGTTTGGGGGAGGACTTGAAGAATTTGGCCTACTAATAATAATCTTACTATCTGCCATATTTTTCACTTCTAATGGAAGAAACTACTTTTGAATGGACACACGATCATGAGAAAATCAAATCAATCTCCCGACTAGCTCTGTCATAATGACTGACCTTGTTGACAGTTGAACATTATTCAACAAAAATAGCTATTCAGTATTAAATTTACAAATGTTTTGAACTTCGATCAATACAGAATTTGATGGAAACCTCTCCACGAATATTCTACACAAAAGTATCTACAACAAGAAGTTTTCACCAAAAAAGCACAAAGCAATCTAGAAAATACGGATGAACTAAAATGAAGTTGACATTTGGCGTTGACAAAAACAACTAGTTGTATTTGTGATATGTGACAGAAGACTAGTTTTTAGAGATGTGTTCCAAAACTGTTCTTCTTTTTTCTTAAAATATCCCACGCTGCCAGGGCTACTCGGCCAGGGGAGATGAACTAGGGTTACTATATAGGAGGGTTTGCAAAATGTCATAATTTTCGATTGACATTTGTGGCTTCTTATGTCGGGCACTGCAATATTTTTGGTCGAATTCATTGTCCAATGATATTGAATATAAGTAATAGGTGATAAATAGGAGTCCTGGTTGGAGTTTTTAATATTATTCATTCAGAACGAGATTTATCAATTGTCGAAGTATTACACCGAAGATGATCGTACTTGTCGAGATTTCGATTCATGGTGACGAAGATGAATGTGCCAGAATCATAACATCGCCAGGGTACAGGACACTGCCCGCATCATCGAATAATAATGTCGAATTGGATAGAAATATGTCGTAGCGCAATTACATTTTATTGCAAAAGTAGCTTCTCAGGAACTTGCAACAAGATTTCAAACACAAATTTCATAGTGTAGCTCAAATTACACGAAAAATGAGAAATAAAACTTTATATGTTTTTTTACCACTAGTATTTGTAACTAACGTTACTGCATCAATTTAGTCCTACACGGATATTTTCAAATGAATACAATGAACTCCTCGTAGGACGAAACTACAGTAACGATAGCTACAAATACAAGTGGTAAAAAACAGAAAGTTTCATTTCTCATTTTTCATGATGATCTCCGACCACGTAATAACAGCTGCATCCATCAATTTACCCAAATTACACCTTTGCTCACATAAAATATATCCGTTTGATTGTAGACCCAAACTACGCAAGCAACAAGTATAATTTCAAAGGGAGGTTAAGGACTTGTCTCTTTTCAATTAACACTTTTACAGTAAGTATTTTGCTTTACTTATCAAGTATCGAAATGTAATATTTAAAGTGAAATTTGAAACATTCTTACAATGTCTCATCAACGTAGTATTGAAAACAATGTGCGAGCCATGGGTCGTTTTCATAAAATAAAAGGAATTGTTCTGACATGAACAAGAAAATATTATATTCAGTAAAAAAGTATTAATACACGGTACATATTTCACCCATTTTATTCAACAGATTATTTTAGTAAAGATGGAAAAAGTAAATACAAAATCAATTCATAGAGGTTCACCTTCAGCAAATACATGTATAATTCAATATTATAATTGCTGATAATTGTTCAGACATTTATTTACACAGCACTCATGTCTTGGGTCTATTATAACACTAACTGATATAATACACTCTTTGATATAAGAAGAATAAACAAATTGTGAAACACGTATTAACGATGAAAATGTACACCAAAGAAACTTAAGAAATTGCATGAACTCGCAAAATATAATAATTACATTTCTCTCTCTTTCTCTAATATTGGATTTTGCTTCCGTTTAGGCGCAATAAGCCATAATATCTATTCGTGGAAGTACAGAAATCTCTCTCTACGCAATACTGCACTCATTTTTTAAAAGATTCATACATTTTTGTGAATCGATGGCAGACATACACTACAGATTAAACGATCACTACACAAATAAACTTAAAATTGCTTGCACGTGCTGTGACGGCATGACCTTGTGTACTTGTGTACATTCACTTAGACAACGCGCACGTGCAAAATTAATTTACAATTCAACTAGAGTAGAATATTTGTCATAGAACATACTTTTTTATGCAGAACACCTGCAGTTCATGTGGTTTTGGTGCATAAAACGGTCTATTGAAAACGAACGTCACATAAATACAGTCTAAAGTTAATGATTTACACTGGAAAATATGAATTTCGGATTCACTAGAAACATGGATAAAATCATTATGAAATTTCATTTCATGTTTATTTTTCAAGTATCGAATATCTAAATTGAATATTTCTAAATTACAACACTGGTGGTAACAATGCGTTGACGAGGATGATGTGAACTGTGAAGTCATTAAAATGAAAAGTGAAGAGGTTAGGAGTGTAGTAAAACATGATTTTGGAACTCCTGGCTGGATAGCCCTGGCAGCTGAAGCCATTGAATGAAAAAGAAGAAGAAGATGAAGAGGTTAGGTTATATGAAGACTGTTTTTGTTGAAACGTGATATTTTTTAATTATCATTACAATATGTCTTGTGAAATTTCAAAAAAGAGAAACAACCGAAAAAGAAAGAAATCATTTCTTATGAATGCAAGAAAGTACGGTAAAAAAGGATATTATGGAAGAGGCTCGGAGCTGGATTCTGATACATACCAGTACTTTGTGAGGATAATGGAAGTTTATAGAGAGGGATTTGAAAATGAGGAAGATAAAATTTTATTTGTGAACAATGTTTTCGAGCAATCAGAGAATCAAGAAATAAACTGTAGTTGTAACCAAGTGGGGTGTCGTGTTATAGAAACACTGCTTCCCTATGCTAGTGATTTGATTTTGAAGAAGTTCATGGAAGCATTCAACTCCGAGATTAGACGTTTGTGTACAGATCGCTTTGCAAGTCATGTTCTTGAAGGTTTGGTTATTCAATCTTGTAGAAGATCGTTGGAAATTGAATCAAGAAGTCAAGAAGTGGTTCAGTATTTCCACCAATTTACATTGAAAATAAGCAGATTCTTACTGAATAATCTTGAAGATTTCATTTGGGATACTTATGGCAATCACATAATGAGAACATGTTTAAAAAATCTAGCTCAGTTAGAAAGTGAAAATGTCAAAAAAAAGGAAACAATGGCAGAAGAATCTGAAAGTAAGGAAGTTCCAGAGGAATACTTGGAAATTGTGGAAGAGTATGCAAAAAGGATTATCTCTTGGCCACAGTTTAATGAGCTGTGTAGTTCAGAACTAACTTCTGGTTTTTTACAAGTTTTACTACAATGCCTTAAAAAAATCAAAAGCAAAACTTTCAAGATATATTTGAAGAAATTGTTGAAGGATATATTTGTCTCTAAGGATGACGGTGACCAGGCAAATCCCAATATCTTACCTGCAGCATTCTTATCAACATCTGTTATAATGATATTGGAAACCACACTTCAGCTTGCAAATTCAAAAATGTTCTCTGAAATATATCGGTTATGCTTTGAAGGAAAACTCCCCAAATTAGCTACAACCCGGAGTACTAATTTTTCAGTCCAGAAATTATTACTTCACTGCAGTAATAAAACTGAATTTGAAGCTATTTTTGATGAACTAGTAGGACATTTTGGTGAAATTATTGAAGCTGGCCATTCCGGAGTTTTATTGGCACTAGCACAGTCATGCAAACGTATGTGTACAAAGCAGGGTAGCTTTGTGAAAAGTTTCATGAAATCCTTACATTGCTTGGAACCTGTAGAGAGGCAAAATTCTTTCATTTTATGTGTATGCAGGCTTGTAACTTTTGACAACAATAAGGCAACTGACAATTTGCATAAGGAAAAACTTAATTTGCATGGTACACTCATGGTACAACTTATGTTAGATTTCAACAAACCAATACAAATAGTCAACAGTCTACTCAGTTTAGATTTAAATGACTTGAAAAATTTGTTTCTCAATACTATGGGCAGTCATATTGCTGATTCTTTTGTAAAAGGGCACTTTGTTGGGGAGAAAAGCAAAGAAAAACTCGTGAGAAAATTAATGGGAAGTTATCAAGAACTGGCAGTATCCAAATATGGATCGAGAAGTTTTGAGGCAGTTTGGAGTGCAGCTAATCTGAAAGCTAAGATTAAGATCATGGAGGAGTTGTCTCATAAAGAAGGGGCTTGGGCGAATTCAGATTTTGGAAAAATTATTGCTGGGAAAATCAACTTATTCCTCTTCAAGAGAAATAAGGAGGAATGGAAGAACTCAGTTTTTAAGGTTAAGGATGGTGATGAATTTTTGAAGGATATTCTAAAATAAATGCTAAAATTGAAGAAAACTTTTTATTTTCAATTGAAAAAAAGACTAGGTTAATATTAGAAGGAATTCTTATGATCATAATATGTAATGAAAATTAGAACCTATATGGAAATGGACATTGTGAACTAAAGGAAAACTATTATATGACTTCGAATAGACGTTGAAAGTGTTAAAATCTATCAAATTGTTTTGGTTATTTGCAACAGTATCCAGGTCTGCATTAGTAATTTTATTATTTTTTATCCTCTTGCTATTATCCCTAATACAGTAAGTACTACTCATTTATAAGATTAAAGTTACTGCATGAGAAAATTTGAGATTGTCCAAAAATGTTTAAGCAATATTGGGATTTAGTTGTATTTTCCTTAAAAAGTTTATTTTTGTCATTTCCTTTAAAATCCTCAAAAGGCAGTACATTGGCATAGACATATTTTAGAACACTTCAGTATGTCACTCTCCTATTCCATTCCCACCTTTTAAAGGACATAATATATACCTGACAAAAGCTCTACCCGGACTTTGCTTGGAAGTAGGCTGATTTAGACTTCAATTTATGTAGGAATATTATGTCTGCATGTGCCCGTCTTGTATTGAGTTTGAGCAATCCAGTAGTAGAGAGAATTTCAAAGAGCGAATGACTTCTAGCTGGCATGTTCATTTTGTAAGCAACATATCTAAGAAATTTATTCTGAACTTTCTCAATATCATAACTGTGGTTGAAGTAAGTTGGAGACCAGATAAAAGTGCAATACCCAATCACTGATCTAAGCAATGCAAAGTATAGTATTTTGATAGAAAAAATGTTGGTAAAATCTTTAGTTGATCTGCATATGAATCCTAACATTTTCATCGCTTTGTTAGATATGTGTTCATACTGTAAATGAAAGTCCATCTTGTCGTCCATCATAACACCCAGATCTCGTAAAGTGTACGCTTTACGAAGCCTAAAAGTTAGTCATCGGGCAGCAAGCCATGATGGTTAAACCTCTGAAGAAGCTAGCCACTCGCACCAGCGAAACGTCAGGAAGAAATTCCAAAAATCCACGGCTTTCAAACTTGAAAAATAATGACACTGAATGTCATTTCTATTCTTATAAATATTATCCTCGCAGTACATAGTATCAGGAAAGCCATAATTTTCGCATTTATTTACAAAATTCCAAAAGTTTTTCATGCTTGATTTCAAGTTATTTTTAATTCTTTTAATATAATCATCATTCCAAATTTGGTCATTAGCCTCGTGTTCTGGGTAGGCAATAATAATTCCACTGAACCACCTAGAGAGATCACTGCTATTCACAGTTTGTCAGCCATGTAACGTTATAGAATAATCCCACCTTACTCGAGGAAAATATATGGTCGAGGTGGGAATCGAACTCCCGACCTTTCGCCCTACCACTGCGCCAATCAGTGAAAAAATTAATTGATCTGAATTTTGTTTTATCAAGAAGAGCATAAAACCAATTCCTGAAAAGTTTCGTTCTTCATGACGAAGTGAAGGTCTGGTAAAAAATTAGGATATGTTCCAAAAATAACCACTTCACAACCTCTACCAATCAGAATTTTCAATGTGGAAACTGGAAACCTTCCTTTTCCGAATATAATATTACAGCTGATTAGTGAAGTCAGAAGTCCTTTTTTTAAGAGTTACTTTTAAGTTTTGATGAATCATCGTAGGAAATAGAAAATCACGGGGCCGCTAACAATGAAGAATTTCATGAGCTGACGATAAAAACATTTACCATTCTCACTCCAATTCGTTATCACCTTCATTCAATGAAACGAATGAATGGGTAGTTGTAGAAAGATATGATGATCCTAGTCGTTTTTTGAGATTATGAGTCGAATAACGTTTTGTGTTTTTTGAGGATAGTTGCACATTTTGATGAAAAAGGGGACCTCAGTTCCTTATATATATAATTTCCATCTATTATATTTTTTAAATGCGTTGAAGAAGGAATTTGTGTCCATTTACCCACAAGAAATGAAACTTCAGCTGAAGAAGACAAAAAAATTGAATTTAGTGAACAGAAACAAGTTGTCTTTTGATATTGTTTGTTTCAAAGTTTACAAAGTTAACTCCAGGTTTACTGAATTTTCATGTTTTTCTTGATAATTGTGCAAATGAACCTATTCTAGGTATTTTATTGTTTTCATTACCAAAATAAAACACTAGTCGATAACCGGAAATGTCCAGCGATAATAAGCTTATATTTTTTTAGATTGTTATATTCTTACTGTAACAAAATCATCGGTTAGTATTTTAACGTTCGGTTCATCAGCTTTCAGATTTTTCAGTAGAAACACAATAGCAGTGATTTTAGAAACACCAAGCCACGTGTCTAGATACTTTTGGAATAAATCTTCAAGTCGGCTGCCGTTTCATCAGCAACAATAGTCTACAATGGTGAAGGATCCATCTAACAACTTCATGAATAAAACAAATTGGCTGTAAATATTTGAAGTCACTTCTGTATTCCACTTATATGTCACAATGCAACATTTGATAAACACTCTTTACTACTAGATATTAATGCCATTTATGTATCTTGTGCAATTTGTTTTTTTCATAATCAATTGCACAGAAGCCAAAGAAATCTTCTCAATTAAAAAAATATGGATGTAGAATCATTTATTTGGTATTTCACAATAGCAAACGAATAAATTATACAATTAACATACAATTCTAAATTTGTGTCTGATGCTTTTAAAGCAAAACTGACGAATATAGTAATATTATTCAAACAATATTGAATAAACAATTGCATATTGATTGAACAAAATACAAATACTTCAACTAACCCAGAAAAATATATGACAAAAAATATGTAGAGTACTTAATACTTCAGAAGTCAACCAAAAAAATTGAGAAAAGTATAAGTTTTATCATACATTTTCAAGGGTGTTTCAAAATAGATAAATTATATATATTACATTGAAAAAATACGAAAAATCTTATAAAATTAAGACTAGTACTATACACACTGTGCAAGGAGTTTTATCCATAGCATTTACAGATCAATGAATAGGCAATAACCTGTTTGATAGATAAAACCTGGGAATATATAACAAAGAAGTCTTAATATGTATAAAAGACCAACTAGATTTGCACTACAATACATTTTGTAAACAGCTGCATTCTTTAAACGAATGTTCAACCAAATTATATACAAAAGGCGCTTTAAAAGTTGAGGGATCGAGGTTTTAAACTTTTCGTCTTCAAAAACAGATGTGCTTGTTCAGTCAACTCTAGCTGATCTCGTGTTCGACCACATGCTACCATTGCCCACATGTAGTCCAGCTGTAACAAATATACATTTAAAATATCTCTTCTGCAGTATATGTTTATGAAATTTTAATTGAAATATGGTTGGGTTAGCGGATTAGTTGGTTAATTTTCATGCCAATGCAACTTTAGTTGATCATATTGGATGGAAATATTGCTAATATAAAGGGGTTGATGTAAACATTTATAAGAGAAAACAGAGGGGAATTTATATTATAACATTTTGGTAAAATATCAAGAGCAATTCTATGTACACTCATTGTGTCTGCAAAAAAAACATCTGACAATAAATACAGAAACTTTCAGAACAGGAATTTAAAAAAAAAAGTTAATGGAAACCTTTACCCTTCATTTTTTTCTTTATTTTTATATCTTTTTTGAAAACTTTGGGCATGTTAGTGAAAATAGTATAGAGTTTCACTTATAATTATCAAGCAAAATTAAAATGTTTGCTAGGAATTCTCAGTGGTTAAACCAAAGTGAAACTTATAGAATTCCAAAAGATAAGTTTTTTCAATTATTTATAGTTAAATTTTTGGATTTGTTGATTCAACTTAAAAACATTCATTTCTCATTAATTATACAAATAAATACAATCCCGAGAGAATTACCATTGTATCAAGTGAATGATGTGCGATAAGTATTTGTTTGATTATCAAAAATTTATTGAAAACTCCAATGAAAAATTTCAACAAAAACTGGCCCTTATTTAATAGAACCAGATATACCTACAACAAAAGGATGTCAAATCTTATTGCCATTAGGTAAAACATTCAGGTATTTTTGTTGAAATCCTTGAGGTTAATCCTATACGAAATCACAGCTTCAAATTAAGTTCAATCTTTATAAAATAAAAATTATCAAGATTCAGCAAATGAATTTGTTCCCTAGGAGTCCCATGAAATATGAATTTTTAAACTGCGTTACCATGAAATTGTCCAATTAGTGAAAAATAGACATGTGCCAGAACTGATGTCATATATGTTCTAATTCCATATATCACCGATGACTATATTCCGAATAAATATTGTCTCAACTCCCTAAGAATTTTTTTTTCATTTATTAATAAAGGAAAGTCGACTGTGTAAATGAAGGTAACTTTAAAATTGTGTCAACGGTTTTTATATAATAAACATTTTTAAATTTAGTTTGGTTATGTGAATCTGAGTTGAATTGTTTTGTTATGTAACTTTTCAAACAAAAGAAATATGTACTTCAGTTATTTCTTTATTGGAAAGAGTTTCTGTCTAAGCTACATATTTCTTTGTGGGAGATTATGATCTTATAATGTTTCAGTAAAATATTCAGCCAACAAGAAAAGTTGTTTGTTGATCACCTACATAAAAATAACCAACTGTTAACTTTAAAATTGTCTTTTATGTAGTATATTTGTGGAGACAATGAAAATAAGAACCATGTGAAATTTTTTTGTCTTAAAGTTGATTGATTAATTCAATTGCTATCTATGGGTAATGAGAGAGATATCTGTTTTTTTTTAAATTTTTATTAGAAGAATAAAAAATTGTAAAAATTCGTTTTTGATAAATTGATTTTGCTTATTTTAATTACGTTATTGGTATGTTGAAACACGACTATAATATGAAAAACAGCAATAAACTGTTTGTAACATATTCTGATTTATTTTGTTAGAAAATTGAATTTCAAAAGACTTTCTGGAATTTTAATTTTGTACTTATCGCTCCGGGGCGACTTCATTGATTCCATTCTGGAATTCAAATTCAGAATTTCTGATAATAAAAAAAAAGTCATCAATGAATCCAAAGATTTCAATGTTTCTTTATAAATCAAAACTGAAATCTTAAAATATATTATAAGGGAGAAATTTGGTAGAAGAGGAGATAGTTGTCTCTAATGCTGAGAGTTAGTTACATGAAACATTTTGAAGTGTAATTAAAATATATCTAGAGATCATCAGTAATTTCTGTTAGTTTGCACATGATGATTTATTTTTCATGAAGTAGATAATCAATAAATGTATCACTTATGTTTGAACCACAAAAACATAACAATTTTCCAAACTTTTCATTGTATTCTTCCCACACCCATCAAGTAATATCAAATTCGCAAGTTTCTCCACAAATACTGTGCTACATTCAACCAGTAGTGGCACATCCCTACTACATAAATATCTTCTCCAAAACTTTGCGATGAACAAAAACCACTAGTGGATGCACCTGTAAAAACATATCAGGCGGGGATGATCTTACAAATGAATGGCATGGCAAGTCGAAGGCTCACCTTGGGAGCTTTAGGCCGAGGCTCTTCGAAGGTGATTCGCTTGGCTGCGGTGCTGCGTAGACCTGTGGGAGCTCGGTTTGAGGCACTGGCGGGAAGCGGGTGCTGCCAGGACAAGGACATTATGCTACAATACCACCACAGATACAACCAATCATGACTACAACCCAAGCTATACATAAGTTCCCCATAATCAATAACAGAAAACATTCATTTTGAGCTCGTTTATATATTTGAAGTGAAAATAGATAATTTGAAACAAGCAAAATTATAATCAAGTCAACTGCATACGGAAGTAAATGAGAAAAAATACTAGAGAGATTGGCGTATCAGTTTATGGTTAATTCAGTTTTATTTGATACTAGCAGTAAATCGAAATTGTATAGATTGTGGAAGGAATTAGATGATAAAATTTGTAAATCACAGTATCTTCAACATTTTAAGATAGAATAATAAGGACATCAAGTACTATTTGAAGAATTTTATATCCAAAACTCTCTGAATATTCATCAACTTGATAATGGCAACAAATTTGTATGTTTTTCAGGAAAATGTGCCTCTGACATAACTTGTTGAATTAGTTAAAAAAGGAGCAATTGGAATACAGAGCATTTTTAAACACAAACATTAAGTTTTAGTAACATAAAAATGTTTTCCGTTAGTATGTACAACAAAAATGAAATAAAAAGAATAGGAAAAAAGGATCCATCTTTTTTTGGTAACTTAGTGCTAAAGGAAGAACAGACTTGCCTTCAAATAAAAAAAAAACAGTGCAACAAAAACTCTACACAATAAATAAGAACTAAGTGCAATATCTACAATAAAAAGGTAACAAATTTGCTTTGTCAAAAATTTTTGGTATGCCTAAAAAGGCTTGTCACATTCTACTGCTCTATTAAGCTAATAGCTAGGACGAAGATTTTCAAATTCAATAAATAAACCTAAACCTACATTTTACGAATCTGAGACTCGAAAATAAAAACTTTTTTTTTTTTGACTCGGTAACAGAAACAATGAATAATGAAGGCTAAGCCAACTACAATTATAACCAAAAAGTGTTTTTTTTCTCACATTTTCAGTATATACTATTGGAATGTCCCCATCGAGCAATAGAATGCCCCCGAAAGAAGAACTTTGGTAACAACAAAAATAACAAAAAATATATAATATATCAATATAAAAACATTTTTGCAGTTATTCGATAGAAAATAAAATAAGAAGTGTTTTTTATAGAAAGACATATCAAGCACATAAATGTATACTTGCGTTTTAAGTGCGATGGTGTAAGCTGAAGACAGGAACAGGATTTAGAGGTTATTATTATGACTTTGGTTCATTTTTTGTATCATATGGACTAGACAGGAAGAATATAGGTAATAATAAAAGACAGGCAAAGAGCACATAGACAGTTTTCAACATTTCGTTGAAAAAGTCGAAGAATTCCCAACACCTTGGCCAACTTTTACAGATGAACACTTGAGAACGACATGTTTTCATTAATATTCATGCATTTTGTATGAATATTCTTCAAATAGTAAACACAGTATCATTTCAATTTCTATGGTCGGTCACAAATATGAATAAGAGGGTATCTAGACACTAATGGAGATAAATTTATTTGGTTTATTATTAGGATAATTAATGTCAATGAATTTTGTTTTTAAATGCAACATTGGCAAATGTAGAAATGTTCATCCATAAAACAATTGGGTGCTACTACATTTAAATACAACTATGCCCAATAAATAGAACTACTGAAACATTTTCTAATTTCATGGTAACATGCATTATATAGTATTATATTAAACAAGAAATTTCATTATTAACGAATATTAACATACTCAAGCTATTTCTATCAAGTTGACTATTTACAAGAAGATTCTTGAAAGATATCCAAAGCTAAGTGGAAAGAACAGAATACACCAAAATATTATTGGGAGAATGGATTCATCAGGAATCATAGGAAAAATTTCAGGAAAGGAAATTATTATCTCCAAAATGAAACCATCCGAGTACCTTGGATGATCCGGAATGAGGAGGAAAATCCATCAATCCTGTTACTCCCAAAGAGTCTTTCATAATCGATGAAGGAGTAGAGAACAAAATGGAGGTGTCATCACCCAATGATCTGCTCTGAAACAAAGCGGCGCAGTTAGCATTGACAATTGAATAAAAAACTACTAATTAACCTCTCATGTCTTCTACTCATTTGAAAAATGATGTGATCAAATTCAGTTCATCTTACAAAAAGTTGGAGACATCAGATATGCATGCTTTTGGTTTACTTACAGGGGTTTCAATGGCAAAAGAAATATCCGATGAACTGATATGAGAAGACGAAGAAGCCCAAGATGGTGCCAGAGCTTTACGCACCCTCTTGTTTGGTAGGATGTTCTCTTTGCCACCAGCTGATGCATCACCTTTTCTTTTGCCAGTCATATAGCCACTATCATTCTATGAACAAAATATATTGTTGTAAAACAAAATTAGCCTAACTAGGATGTGCGCATAAAAAATTTAATAACTTCGAGAAAATATTTGGGCTGTCAAATTTAGTAATAAGAAATGAAATTTATAAATCTCCACTAATGCCAATGCTGCAAAATTAACAAAATTTCATTATCATTTAAATTTCATATGTATTCTTTGGTTTAACCACTTTTTGGTTTAGTATGTTATTAACAAAAAAAAGCCAATCTTTGAAAAACTTACAGTGACCACCACACTGGTGTCTGTTTCATAATGGGAGCTGTCTTGGTCTTTTTTCATTATTTCGGTGATATCTTCCAGCCTTGAAGATGGAGTGTCTGGGTGAGTGGAAATGGGCCCAGACTTCTTCTCGAGGTCAGCTAACGCTTTCTTGAATGGGGTTGGGGTCCGCGGTGTATCACTATTGAAGTGTTTGCCAGGAGTTGAAATAACATCAGAAGTAGAACACGAAGCTGTAGCTTCAGATTTCATTGGAAGGCCTCGAGGTGTACTCAGAGGACTATAATCCCTGTTCTAAAGAAAAAATATATAAATTAAAGGATTACTATAAGATATACAATAAAATATTTGACAATATGGTCTAGTATAGTATACGGTTGAAGAAACATACATCTTTGAGATGAGTTACTGTTCTGATGTTCGGAAGAAGTATTTTGGTTGAATTCATTCTTCACTAGAGATTCCAATTTCACCTGACAACATGTCATCTGAGACATGTTGTCTGTTGCGTAGCAAATCGGTGGGAAGAAGAAAGTGGCATAAGAAATTACCTGAACCAGGTAATAATGTATACTGATGAAAGCCTCGTAAGAGTATTTTTGGGATATGAGTATTTTCAAAAGGAAAATCACATTTACATCAGCTGACATAGACGCCAAGGCTCCTGATAAAGAAATTTTCAATTCGAAAACAACCTCAGTGTAAAGAACAAGAATCCAGTTCAGAAAATGGTTTGCGAATGAATTGACAAAATGGCAGAAGTTCTTATAAGGACTTATTCAGTCATCAAGAAAACAAACTAATATATAGCATCCAGGTGTTATCTCAAAAATTAAACCAAAGTTCGTCGAAATAGATGACAGTTTGAGCCTTATCATGGACGTGAATCCCCACCTTAGAACCAATGGGATGGATGTAGTTCAGGGCAAGTGACCTGAGGAAGGGAATTAGTGTTGTGTGTAATCCTGCAAAGGAACCCCTAGATAAGTTTTCCTCGGCTATAAAAAAAATGTAGTTGGTGAAACAAAATATAAATTGTATGTAACGAAAGAACACCCTTTATTTGCAGCAACGCAATACCACACAACTACAAATAAAAATAATTAATTATAGTCTACAACATTTTATTTGATTTTATTATTACCTACCTACATAAATGCAGGCATTGGAAAATATAACTGATATTATTTTCCTTTAGAAACCAAGAGCAGTTTTAATGATAATATGTTCAAGTTATGGTTTGATGAGCGGATATGTTCTTTAATACTTAAATAATAATAATAATTGTAATTTATTGAACAAAATTACAATTTTGTTTAACTGGCTATTGACCGAAGTCCTTCCGCCCCTAATACTTAAATATTTCAATAGTTTACCTATTAATGTTAAAATTTTTATGAAGCTATTTCAATTACTATTTGATTAAACATAAAAAAGTCCTAGGTAATTTTAGATGTAGATCCATTATATATTATCATTTTAGACAATAAAGACTACTTGAAGTATTTTTTGCACCACTGTAAATGTATGCTCCTGCTTTGTATACAGGGTGTCCCAGAATTTAGTTAACAGGGTATATATCCCTTATTTGCAAAGCTAGAAAAAAGAAACAAAGTTGGTATTGAAAGACATCAGAATGTCCTTCTGAGAATTGCAGAAATGAAATTAAGTTAGCTCTTAATGATGTTGAAATGCTCTCCTGAGAATATTGTTGAAATCATGCTAATCATCTTTCAAAAAACTATCTTCTACTTTAGTTTTCAAACTGGCACCTACAAAAAATTAACACCCAATCATATGAGTCCCGCTGTGACTGTTGATATTGTTATAAACTGCTTCAATATTATTTATATGTGCAGTATACTGAGGAGACCAGACTGGTGATGCATACTCCAAAATAGATCTCATATAGGCTAGGTAAAGAATTCTGACGGCATCTACTGTTAGATCCTTACAATTTCGAAAGACAAAACCAAGAAGTTTCAGAGCTTTATTGATGTGGGTGATAAGTGAAAGCTTCACATCAAAGATTATACCCAAACCTCTTATTTCATTGAGCCGTTTTAGATTGACATTGTCAAGAACATAGTTGAAGACAATTTTATTATTTATTTTGGCAAACGTTATTTTGTGACTAAACATGTAGAGAATTGATATCACCCTGTATCTTATGACAATCTTCAATACGTTCGATAGGCAAATATAGCTTCAGGTCATCAGCAAACAGCAAGAATTTACAGTAATGAATTGAATTGCCAACATTATTTATAAATAGGGTGAACAGCAGGAGTCCCAAATGAAAGCCCTGTGGCCCTCCAGAAGTTACCAAGATTCGTTCTGATTCAAAATCTTTGACCTGTTCTTGAGATAATTGCCTATTCAGTTAGTAATAAAATTGGAAAAAACCAACGAAAATTAGGTAATCCTATTTCAATAAACTATTTAATATTCAATTTCGTCAATCTTGGATTATAATAAATAAATGATAATGAAAAACAAAAATGGAGTGGATGAAAAATATTGTTCAAGAAATTCTTTTAGTTTCATGGTTATGGTCATAACATAGAGAAAATAGAATTGAATTTGAGATTTGAGAATATTTTTGAAATTCTTCCATTCTGCCAAACTTTCCAGACCCCCTATCATAAAAAAACTAACATATCACTTACCATTCTCCCCTTATCTTTTACAGGTGTAACAATCGATCCTGAATGCATAGCTTTTGGGGTCGAAGACATTGTCACATCAAAGGGAAGATTCGTGATATTTGGACTGTTGAGAAACTGTGACGGACTGAAAGGAAGCTGTTTTATGGGTGACGGCCCATTTCTGAGAGGGCTGAATATGGTTGGCTTCGCTCCATCCAAGAAATAATCGTAGTCCTCGATAACTCTACTGGTACTAGGAGCAGTTGCAATCAAGTTTTCTGAGACCTGCTCAGCACTTTCTCTTCGCCTCCTTGACTTACCCCTTCGAAGAATGGGTGGTGTGGAAGATCGAGATAGGGTAAGCGTATTTGCGACAGGTACTAATGTATTTTGAGCATAATTTGGGGGTACAACTCCTGTGAAAATAAATAATTGGTTAGTAGCAATACACATATATAGAAGCTCCAAAAAAGTTTCACGGAAAGTTTTCAAAATATTTTGAAGTAGTCATCGCTGGTGATAACATTTGCATCAAGGCAATATTTATTTGAAACAGATCTTATGGATGGAACCAGAGTTAAAAAAATAAAGCATTCGTGATTCAATAGTAGAGAGTGCTGTTTTGACCTGCTACAGGTTCCATCAGAAATGCTAGGCTGAAACCTAAACCTGAGTCATGAATGCATTGTTGAACGAAACTGTCCTTAAAGATCATCCGTCACAAACTTTTAAAACAAAAAAATGTATCATTACCAATCCTCCTTTTAATCATTTTGTTAAATGTCAATATTCAAACTTTAGCTCACTAGATGTCAAAAAGCTCATCCTAGAGTCAAAAAATTGTTTTGCCAACTTCTATTTCAATCATATTGAACATTTGAATATTACTGAAGTTTTATCCCATTACCAAAACTTTATTTTTTAAATCTCGACACGTGTTTCCATCACCAAGTGATAATCTTCAAGACGAAGGTTAATCTTTTTCTTGATCACTTGGAGATCATCTTCAAGAGGAATATTAATCTTCCTTTTGATCACTTGGTGATCAAATCAGGTGTCGAGGTTTTAAAAAAAAAACAGTTTGGTGTTGAGGTAAAACTCCAGTAATATTCATTACTAGACCAAAGGTTCCAAACAGTGAAACATTTTTTGTCAATATTCAGTTTTATAAATTGAGTTGAAGTCCATGTTATAAACTACTTGATCAAAATCCATATAACATATTCAAGTAAAACTTTATGGTGAGATTTTCACTGAACAGTTCACATAACCGCAACATGTGTTTCACTATAAGATAGCTTCCGCAGTCGTATTCATACGAGTATGAACTGAACCAGCGAAAATCTCTCGTTAACCAGCTGTCGACTTCCTAGGAGGGACAACTCTCAAAAGTCAAAACTTGTGCGAGCTAAGGACTAACGAGGTCATAAATTTCAACGTGATTCCTAAAAAGGTACCTAACCCTTGGTACTTAGGAATAGATACATTAGATGAGCTCAAACAATCTAAAAGGGTGACAATCTACGAGGATGCCAATCTGAAAGAATGACAATTTTATATCAGTTCTGTATACTTTGGAAAGTTTCTCATTTTTCATTCAGTACAAACAACTTCTATGTAACACACATACACCTCTCACATTTATTATTTATGTATTAATTATATTTTTGAGCTGAATTTATGTGGTTTTATCAGTATGCTTTCTGATATAGCCTAAAAACCTTCTCTATGAAAAATTACTTATACATGTCAAGTTTCATCACGATCGGTTGAGCGATGTAGAAGTTTATCTCTTACCAACCAACCAACAAACATTCATTTTTATATATATTATTAGATAGCATTTCAACATGAAACAACATTTTTAAATCTCACAATTTGATTGGAATTTATTGCAGAAATCAAGTATCTGACACCAAACCAAAATTGTGGGTTAAACTGGAGGTTAAGTGGAAGAACAGGTTATTTTTATTGCGATGAAAATAAACTGAACTTCGCCTTTTACTTTCCTGTAATAAAAAATTTCATTGTATAAAAACTGTTAACTACCTAATATTGGAAATAATAAAGACGAATTATTATTATTATTATTATAACAATATACTTCTGCAAATAGTGGGTTATTGTGTTCCATTCATGAAATCACTTCTATGTTGGGCACAGTATCTTCCATTCGAGTCTGGAACTTGAAGTGTGACTTGTACCGTGAGCTCTAAGTGAATGTGTTACCTTAGTTCCACAGAAACCACCTTATTCAGTGTATTCATGCTAGAAAATGTATGTTAAAAGGTAAGACCAAACCTTTGTTGATTGTTTGATTCCACAATTCATGTGACAGATACATTTTTTTGTTTAGAATTCAATCGAAATATATTAGCTAATATCACTCTTCGACTGCATTGTTGAACGAAACTGTCCTTAAAGATCATTCATCACAAACTTTTAAAACAAAAAAATGTTTCATTACTAATCCTCCTTTTAATCATTTTGTTAAATGTCAATATTCAGGTAATAATGTATACTGATGAAAGCCTCGTAAGAGTATTTTTGGGATATGAGTATTTTCAAAAGGAAAATCACATTTACATCAGCTGACATAAACGCCAAGGCTCCTGATAAAGAAATTTTCAATTCGAAAACAACCTCAGTGTAAAGAACAAGAATCCAGTTCAGAAAATGGTTTGCGAATGAATTGACAAAATGGCAGAAGTTCTTATAAGGACTTATTCAGTCATCAAGAAAACAAACTAATATATAGCATCCAGGTGTTATCTCAAAAATTGCGAGGGAGCTTTTCTGGATACGCTTTCCATAATCAGTGAGTACAAATCTGAAACTGGAAACTTGGAACGCTTCAGAACTCAATTTCTTCAAAGGCGAGAAATAGGAAAGAAAGAGGTAGATTAGGAAAATATTAAATGGTTGTAAAGTCAGTTTAATTATACAAGTTTCTGAGACCAGACATTTATACACTATTGCTGTAAAAGGATTCGAAGTTCTTCAAAAACTGTGTACAATCTCAGAGTGAATTTATCTCCCGAATACACACCTAAAAGTTGGAGATTGATTAGGGCTACCACTCGGCGAAGGCTTGATAACAATCGTCTTATGTGACTCAGGCTGACAATATTATAAAAACTGCACGTCGGGCATTCTAGGGACCTTTCGGGACTTAGATCAATTCATCACTAAGATGCATACAGAACATAGAAAAATCAGAATATGCCTATACTAACAAGAAAGAAACGTTTAGCTGTTTATTCAAGTGAGATTTTCACCGAAAAGTTTACAAAACCGTAACATGTGTTTCTCTTTACTCGTACAAACGCTTCCTCTGGCATTTTCAAACTAGTAGTATGGACACGCCTAAGGATACTATTGTATGATGAAACATATTTGGAAACTGTTCTTACTAGTAGTATTTGCAAATGTATCCTTAAAATTGATCATCCAATCATCCAAGAATAGAGAAATCAACGAGACAAGTTGCAGGTAGATGGATTGCATGTTTAGAAAAAGTATGCATGACCATCACGGCGGTCATGGTGTCACTTTCTTACAGACAAGCTACTACCTCTTCTGGACCACAATGCACTGGCCAGATGAATCAGTCATTCTAGTCTAGGGCAGAATGCAATACGCCAGAATATTATATGAATATTATATGACATGTAAACTTCAATGGTGACAATTGAGACATATCTGGGAAAGCTATGAAGAATTGAAGGAACTGGTGGCACGAACTGATTAACAATACGAGGTGTCAAACATTCAGGAGTTATAAATTAAGTGTACAAATTAGCACAGGTTACAAGAATGTTGTAGGTGGGAGAAAACACAAAAAGCTCATGATGGTGCATTATTTCTCAAAACTTGAAAAAAAAAGGATAGGTCAAACGGTTTTCAATAACGAGTTAGTTACCTCAGCGTAGCTCTCCTGCTTCATAGCAATATCACCTCTATCCACCTGAGTCCCGTGGGTCCTCTGAAGCGGATAATGTGCGTAGTGGTTCCCATCGCTTTGTCTAGCATTTTTCCTATGCCTGTTTCGCCTCGAATCTCCATTCTCCCGGTTTTCTGATTCATATTTCCTTCTCATCGTTGAATTCCAGTGGTTTTTGATGGCGTTATCTGTCCTGCCCGGTAGTAGCTTTGCAATTCTTGCCCATTGATTTCCCAACATTTGATGCGCTTGGTAAATAATTTCATCCTCCTGTTCTGTCCAGGCGCTCTTTTTTATTTTGGGATTCAGGTGATTATGCCACCGTTCTCTACATTGCTTTCCTATCCTACCTTTGAGATGCCGAGCAATCAGCGTCCATTTTTTGGCACCGTATTTATTAACGAGTTCAATCACTTTCTCGTCCTCCTAAAACAAAAAATTATGTTAAGATATAATTTCGTAATACTTGAATTCAAATCTGTATTAAGGGTTGAATGGCTGTTACAAATTGAATGGATTTTTAAATTGAAAATTTAACGAAGTATTAGGTGATAAAAATTAAAAAACACTCCTTTTGAACTTTTTATTCTGATTTTCAAAATGAATAACTGTTAGTTAACCTTTGAACTTAGTGCAACCTCGGATTTATTTATTAGACGATGACCTAATCGTTTCATTTTCAACTTGTTGTTATTTATAATTATCATATTGACTACCAATAATTATGCTCGTTATAAATATGATTGTTGTTGATGCCGTGTACAAACGGGATACGATTTTGCATACACATTTTTCAGTTGAGTTCTATTAATTTCCTACCTCTTTTGAAAAATTTTTATATGAGCAGAGTCGGAAATACTAAATGGTCTGCAGGATATATGGCGAACTTGAGGTTGGATAATTCTTTGGCTTGGTGAATTATTCACAATTATTTGAAACAACAACTGTGAATTATTCTTTTCCTGATTCAACTCATGCTTTTATTCTCCATACTTCCTGTTTGAAAGTGGTTTATACATAGATACAGACTGATATAAAATGAATAAAGTTGAACGATATCATTTAAAAACATATTTTTAACGCGTCTTTCAATCAGCAGCACTAGCAGCACTTAGCAGTACTTCCACGAGATATAATTAATTATCAGTCGCAGAATTATTCAATGAACAGTTGGTTAATCTCGTATGGGCATTTCTTTCCTTGTTTTTTTTTTTCAAAACTTCTAATAATTATTAATTTTACCAATTTCATAAAACGAGATATTGAACTATATTTTATAAATTTTCCGAGCATAACTAACCTACCATTTGTTTTATTGCTACCTTTCCACGCATGTTTCCAAACAGGAAGTTTCATCGATATACTCGAAGAGTCATAGTTCACGAAATGCAAGCCATCTGGTCTTGACAGTTTTTGGAGGAGGTAAATTTTCGACCATATGATATTTCGAACAAAGGGAAGGTGAGAAAAGTTTTCAGGCAGAATAATAATTGTGTGAACTAAATGAGGCAGGGATAATTTGTAAACGTTCTAATGAAAGTTTAGGAAAACAATATTTACAAAATAAAAACTAACAACTGAAAAGGTTCGGGTAAAATACAAATCAATAATATTGTGGTTTGCTTTTCGCCAAGGGTAGAAATGGTAATTTATTTGTAAACCAATTTGAAATGAAATAATACATAACGCGAATGAGATCAGAAATAAATGATACATTATTGCACTAAGGCCTATTGTTAAATCTACCCAAAGATATCTATCTATTTAGGTTTCCGTGTAGATTTCCTTGTTCATGCTTTCAAGTGTACTGTCAAGCTATAATTCATTGAAAAAAAAATAATGTGAAATAAATTTCAGAACCTCAGAATTCGGTTACGAACATTCAAGATATTTTATAGGCTATGGAGGCTAAATGAATTAGTTACAAGCTAATATTGTAACTAAAGAACCATGTCGAACATTGAAACCAAGATATGTTTCAATCTCTACTACAATATGAATTGAGTGACCCAAAAATTGATGTTGTTTTAAAAAAATCACCCAGATCCTTCACAGAGCGAACTTGTTAGTGCATGGCAGTTAATCGAGTAACAAGTTTTTTTTATTTTTCTTGTTGAAACATTGGTCCACAGTGACAACCTTGAAGTACGCCTAAAGAAACCTGGACTATATTCCTTGTGGTCCACCAACATTAATATGTTGGGTTCGATCGCTAAAAAATTTCTGAATCATAATGCAGGTATGAAAAAATTAGTGAATTCATCTGATGTCTTCACTCTCTAAAACACCCACTATCACGATATATTTATATTGAGTGAACCCGTATTTATTGTTTATTAATCTTTTATTATAGTGAAATTTTGACTGATCACTATAGTTACCAACAAATTATCAACAATTTATCATATAGACACGTTAAAGATGCAACTATTATAGTTGACCCGGCCTTGGAAGTAATAAACGTTAGTTATGAAAGTTATTGGCAGAGTTATATTACATTTTTTATATTTTCTTTCTAAAACATGAAGCCGGGCCATACTTACACGGCCAGTGTTGTCAAGTTACTTTCATGCTTTTTCAGTAGAGTTTGTGTCCGAAAAACAATAAATGGATACAAAAACCAGTTGAAACTATATTTCACACTATTTGCAGTCATTTATTAATAATTATTGGGTCATCAATAGATTTTAACTCTCAAATAATAGAACAGTAGTTCTAGAGCCAAACACAGTAGACCTGGCAACAACAAAAGTGATTTTTTCTTCACCTGTAGTGGATAATGCATGTTGAATAATCTGATGGATATTGCTGATTGTGATTCTATTGTGGCATAACTTTTATTTATGCGCACACAATCACATCAAATGTCTATGCACTCACCATGGTCACTGTCATAACCTAACAAACCGAACGTCATCAATATGTTTATTCTTTATTTTTCAAATGTTTTGATAGTTATTCTGCTATTTCGGATTGAGAATCCAACAAATAAAAATCATGAAAATCTATCCAGTCGTTCTTGAGTAATAAATGGTGTAACTTTGTTTATGGTGCGACTTTGTTTCATATGCGATTGTAGTAAGTCGCAAATCGTGAATAAGAAGTAGGATAATCGATTTTCAACGAGAATATTTATGCTAGTATGTATAAGTTTATGACGAATGTTGGCCAACATGCATTGTTACAATTTATGTCTGGTACATGAATTTATCTTAATTAAATATTGCTTTTACGTGAAGCATTTTTACTAAACATGTAAAGGGAATACTCTCACGAAAGATAACGACTCGATGTGATCCCATAACTAAAAACACAGTCATTTAATGTTCATTTGTTGAGTATTCAAAGAAAAGTGAAAATGTTCTGAATTATCAAATTATCGAATAGTTATTATCAATTAGCTTCAACCGGAAAAACAACATTTTCCCAATTAATAATCTGATGTAGGTACACATTTTTATTTCTCAATGAGCCGAGAAGTACCGTAAACTCATGTGTTAGTTTGTAGATATAATGAGATAAACCTGAAGAATGTTTGAGGTTCCACACTTTATTTACTTAGTTGATTTTAGTTGACTTTTACTTCCTTTAGTTCTCAGAAAGCTTAAAATATTTAAGTACATAAAATTATCAGATTTTTTAATTCACATAAATATAATTCGATTTAAATATTTTATTACCTGAATCTACGTTAATACATAAAAACGGTAATTAGAAAATCCAATGACGATTTACTGAATATATCACTATAAGAATAATTACAAAAAATTCGCTTTGACAACCGGCTGTTTCCTATCTAGGAGGGTAAAATAAGTTAAAACAGTGATTTTTAATTTTTTTTAAACATCCATAGGCCCAAAAAAAAAAAATATTTCTCAGAATAACGTGTCGGCTTACGGGTTCTTAGACAAGTCGTATAATTATTAAGAGACACGCCTTGTTCAGGGTTCGAAAATATAACAGTTCTTATTGGCTTTAACTATACCTGCTCTTTACTACTATTTGTGTGAAACCTTTGAACTTTTTATTCTGATTTTCAAAATGAATATCTTTTTGTGTGTAAACTTTATGCATAAGACCACAATTATTTTCCAATGACATATGAATCTCAAGGTTGGGATTTTGTGTTATTTATGTTACATAGACATAAATCTCATTGGATTCAGAGTGACGCGTAGAAGAATTGGTTTTGATGATTTGACAGCACAGAAAATTGCAAGTGTTATTAACAAATTGAGATAAGAAAGGTATTTGATTTTTCGTTAATAAATCGACTGTGTTTCCCATAACATTCTTCTTGTCTTTTTATGATGTAAGAGGTGTTGCTCTGAATCTTTTTGATTCAGATTCACAAAATCGTTTTCATAGAGTATATTATAACCTCTGCCTATCTTATCTAAAACCGGGATATTCAGGTGTCCCGCAGGGATCAAAATTGGACCCTCTTTTATTCGTTATTTATGATTGTGGTTGGACAATTTCATGAATCCTGACTATACTGTTTTTTCTTGCAGACGACACGTCCCCAATTTATTCAGATGACAGCTATTCATGTTCGAATCAAACAAAATCAATACAAGAAAAAACAGAATATTGGTTTAATACAGCAACAAATTGCAAATGAATAGGGATACTCCTCAAAACATGATCTTTCTCTTATATAGATAATTTAGTGACGGAATTTAGTGACAAAATTTAAAAAAATTGAAATGAAATATTTTTTGTACAACTGTCATTTAAAGGGACATTTTTAATGGTTTTCAAGAATATTAAAAGACGATGTTTACAAAGTAGCGTGTTAAAACTCAAAAATATTTTCAACACTAAAAGTATTTTTAACACTAGTGTTAAAAGTATCTTCAACACAATTTTCTGAGCCGATTTTTTTGGTAAAAATTCAATTGAAGCTCTTTTTTGCAGCCTCTTCAATATCGTCAGGAACTCACAATTCCTCACTATTGTTCTTCAAAGCAAATGCGATAAAATGTAACTGACAAGAGATGTCAAAATGTGTTTTTATAGAAATATTAAATTTGTCTATTTCATTATAAAAACAGGACAGATAGATGTACATAAAACTTTGTAAGATATTTGTGTTAAAAGTAAGTTTTATTTTGTTCGTGTCAGGGTACCATTGGAAGCAGAATTGAACGCCAATCAAAATGATGTACCACTTAACCCCCCTTTCCATTTTAAATTTTTAAGGTTAAAATCTACCCCTCCTAGGGGTTGAACCACGAGAGCTAAAAAAAGTCCTTGGAAGTGTCCCTCTTGACAATAAAATTAACCTGTTTCTCCGATTCCTCATATTGTTTACTGAAAGTAAGATATTAAGGTTGGGAAGTTTTCAAATGGACACCCTGTATAGCAGACGCAGTATCATTTGTGAATTTGTTTATGTTGTGATTCGTGAACGACTGAACTCC